TTTGATTAGTCTTTGGTTTGATAATCATTCATATTTTTTATTTGATAATCCTGAATACATATTACCCATTATCAATCATATTGGTCAATATATCATAGATAAATATGTTATGAGTAAAGAATATAAATTATATCTAATTCAACTTCGACAATCACATTTATCACAATCAGTATTCACATCTAAATTATTATTCTACATTAAAACATGTTCATTTTATTTTTATTCATACTTATTTTCAAGAGTTAACAATTTTCCTTATAGTGCCGATGAAATGATGCGTTATCTATATGAAGATTATTTAGAAATAATTCATATTCATAGTCATAGTGTAGAATCATGGAGTAAGGAATTACTTAGTTGTATTACACAATTAATGAGTTTAGTTCATGGATCTTGTTGGTATGATCGAGAGAAAAAAGTACAGATGAAAATACTTTTTCCTACAGGAAAAATAATATGTGATTATGTTAAAGATCTAATGCGTATCATGTCACATAAGCCATTTTACAAACAAACAAAACCTAACAGATCAAATGATGAAACAATTTTAATGCAGTCAATTTTTGCATTTTTATTTATGGCAGTACAAACATATGATATCAATTGGCTCTTTCGTTCAAACACAACAATGCGAGACATAGTTGTATCGGTGGTCGAAGCGACACTTAATGATAAAGTCGCTTTAGGTGGATATGGTATACTAGGTGAAATTCTAACAGATGACGAGTTCAAAGATTTAAAGATAGCTGATAATATGAGTAGGTTTTTCGTCAATATGCTAGAAGATGCTTGGAATCAACCGACGAAAAAGTATAAACACCTACCTATCACATCTTTATTGAGAGGTATGTCAAAAAATGAAATTTATATTTAATTATTTTGTTGAAACAACAAATTTTAGCATTATGATCATAGATATCGTCAATAGTTTGCAAAGGTTACGACTCACTTTTAAGTTTCTATTCGAGCAAATCACTCATTATTCATATCCTGTGTTTTTCTTACATTCATTCATTGAACCCATATTTGAAAACTTTATCTTAAACGAAGAGAAATATGAATTAAGAATTATTCTTTATGCTGATACCAAAAGATATCACATATTTTTACTAAAAATCTTTATCTTAAAAAATAAATAAAGACAATACTTCTAAATATGCTAACACAAGTTACAAACCATCCAAACTAAGTTCTTTATTGAAACACTTATATAAATTATCCTTGAAATCTTTTTAGGCTTGCAAACTTTATCAAAAAATGATTCTATACAAGAAAGTACAGCTCATTTAAATAAAATGAATCTTCTTATCGAAATGTGTGATGAATATCCAATGGTGTATGATATTATATGGGCATTTTCATTTAATCAAGATATTCAACAACAACTTCGTTATAATTTATCATTTATATCTAAATTAAGTCAATTATCAAAAGAATGTGATAATGAACAAATGTCTAAAATGATTTATGGAATTTTATGGAATCTTGAAACAAATCATGAAAATCGTCCAACATCAAAAATAAAAGATGAAAAAAAATTTGATATTATGATTAGTTATTCACACAAAGAAAAAGACCTCTGTAAACAAATCTATGAAGAATTGAGTAAAGCTGGTTATCGTATATGGATAGATTTCGATCAAATGCATGGAAATGTTATGGACGCAATGGCACAAGGTATTGAGCAATCACATATAATTATTGTATGTATGAGTGAACACTATCGAAAAAGTAATTATTGTCGAGCTGAAGCACATTATGCATTTCAACAGCAACGTAAGATAGTTCCTCTTATTTTACAAAAA